ATTTTACATCAATTTTCACTATTGAGAATGTAAGTTACATTCCAGAGGCAGGAATTGGAAGAGAGGGAGGAACTCAGGAAAATCATGATCACCAGAAGTGGTACTGAGTAAGTTGGTGGAACGTGGTCCACGTGCTGACAGAATTCATTTTCAGGTCTTAAAATAAGTGACGAAGGAGATAGTTGACATATTGGTTTCAATTTTCCAAAACTCCTTCGATTCTGGGAAGGCCTCATTGGTTTGGAAGATAGTGACTGTAATTCCCTTATTCATAAGGGGAGGGAGACAGAATGCAGGAAACTACATGACAGCTGGTTGACGATCTATCATAGGAAATCTGTTAAAGTTATTATTACTAAAGAAGTAGCAGTAGAGCACCTGGATAAATTCAAGGTAATCAGGCAGAGTCAACATGGTTCTGTGAAAGGGGAATCACGTTTGATCAATTGATTGAGTGCTTAGCGTAGATAATACTCTGTGGATAAAGGGGATCTAGTGAATGTACTGTATTTAGATTTCCAGAAAGCATTTGATAAGACGCTATATCAAAGGATATTGCATAAAATAAAAACTCAATCTAAGTGTAGCATACTGGCATAGTTAGAAGATGGGCTGGCTGACAGGAAGCAGAGAGTAGGTGTGATGGGTGTTTTTCAGGTTGACAAGATGTAAAGAGTGATGTGTCACAGGATCAGTGCTGGTACCTCTACTGTTTATTAAATGACTTAGATGAGGGGATGGAAGCTTGGTTGCCAAATTTGCTGCTGGTACAAAGATGGATGTGAAAGTAAGTTGTGAAGAGGAAAGAAGGAAGTTACAAAAAGATGTAGTTAAATTCAGTGAATGGGCAAAGATGTGGCAATGAAGTACAGTGGGAAAAATGTGAAATTGTCCATATTCACAGGAAGAATGAAGAAACATATCAATTAAATAGTGAAAGATTGCAGAATTCTAAGATGCAGAGGGTTCTGGGTATCTGTTAAATCTTATATTTTCCAATGAGAGTCTGACTTCAGTGGTAGATTCAGGCAACCTTTCTTGTGATTGTAACATCAGTTACAGCAAAGCAAAAAGCTACGTAAAAAGTTTCAGACAGTCTTAACTTATAAATTTCAAGCGTAGAGTGCACACGTGTGCCACCCCCCTTCCTTTGTTTACTATTGGTCAGAAGTACTGAGTTATCCCTTTGTAATTGGCTCTCTCGTACAGTATCTTATACAGTTCAAACTTGCCTCAGCAATTTCAATGTACTTCCAATTAAGCTAATCATATCACTGAATGACAGAGATAGACAGGCTTGTGGTCCACCTCCAGTCCTTCATGATGTTTTCCCAGACTTTCTTATCTCTCTTCTTGAGGCATTTCACAGTGGATACAATATTTAAGTAACATTGCTAGCTGCACCATGTTAACTGCCAATTAGTAGGATACTTGCCTATCACTTCAGGACATTTTAAATTCCTCATTACAGAAAATACAAAAGAATATTCATTTTTGATCAGTTTCAACAAAGTCATGCGGTTACACCTAATGTTAGAATTCTTCAGCAACGAAGTTGTCTCTTAATGTGTTCAAAGGCCCGAAGGCCCATATCTGAATCCACGCCCGTAGGCCCAAGTCCACACACAAAGGCCCGAGTCCATGCCCGTAGGCCCAGTCCGCACCCGTAGGCCAAGGCCCAAGTCCACGCCCGAAGGCCGCAAACACACACCTTGCAGTACACATACAAATACTCAGTCCATCCTTGAGGCCTGGTCTGCTTACAGAAACACAGCAGGCTCCTGGAGGCCAGGCCTATACTCTAATATACAGCCCACCTATGGAATGCCTGTTCACCACAGAGGCCTAGCCCACTCGCGCAAACACAGTCTACTCACAAAGGTGCAGCTGACTCATGGAGGCTCAGTCCAGACACAAAAAGCTGAAAAAAGTAAAGTGCAAGTACTTAAAACTGTGGAGCAAGGAGCAAGCCTGGCTAACCAAGTCACTTTTGCTTCAGTTCCAACAATAACAATACACTGGCTGTAACCAGCCAGTTTAAAAAAAAAGCAGTTCCCCACTGAGAATTAAAATCCAGCAGTAACACTAGCTGTGACCCAGCCAGCCTGAAACTCAGTTCTCAAAAAAGTGAAAAAGAATCCACAGTACCACTGGCTGTGGCCAGCCAGCTCAAAGTCAGTCGCTTGAACTGAGGAGATTCTCATCTCCTGGTTATATTACTCAGCCAGAGCTTTCCTGATTTGCTACTTCATGCCATCTCATCAATATCACCTTCTATTCCTTTCTCCCTCATGTTTATCTTGCTGCCTCTTAAATTCAATCTTTTCACTTGTCTCAACTACAAGTTCTACATTCTAACCTGGACTCCAGACCCTAATCACAAGGTTCACTGCTGGAACTGCAGGCAGGAGTATATATAGTAGTTGCCATCACTGTGACATATCGGAAAGGTGGAGAGCTACATGAAAAGCATGTTGCAGAAGGTGATTCAGAGAGAGAGCAGGTCGCTGCCAGGCAGTCAGGAGGAGCAGGGAGGTGGTCTAAGTGCATCCCACTCTCTAACACATATTCAGTTCTGAATACTGGTTAGGATAATTTTTTCCCTTTGGGGAGTACAGCCAGAGCCAAATCCACAACATTATATGTAGTTCAAATTTACAGGGGTGAGAAGGAAAATGAAAATTTAAGTGATAGCAGATTTATTAGAGAAACAAGCAGCTGTATCTGAGATCCCCAACAGGAATCCAGGATGGTATACTGACACTGGCCTCACTGAGTCAATGAAGACACTAAATGGCTGCACAGCTTTCTGACAGGGGGTGAGCGAACAGGCAGAGACTGTTTTCAATGGCTGGAAAATAATTATATCTTTGAAATATTAAAAATAGCACACTATTCAGATGAAATAGGTACAAAGGGAGACAATGTCTTGAAGATTGATTTTTGGAAGCCAGCAAAGAAATTAAGTAGAATCTCAAATTTAGTTATTGTAAAGTTGCATGCCAGCATCTTATAAATGTTAGTTTCTGTTGGAACCATCTATATTGCCTAGAATAGATTCACTGCCACCAACCCTTCTTGCTGGTGTCAGTCGAAGCTACTAATACCATGTGAGGAAGGATGTCCACATGAACTCTTCAGCAGAAGATAGTCACAATCTTGATGAACAGTAATTAGGTTTATTATCTATTACTTAGTAGCTAGTTACATTATATCTGAGATGCATGAATGATTCTTGAGAGACAATCTTGATATAGCTACCATGCTGTTAACTCAAAGAACAACCACTGAAGCACTATACATTCTGATAAACATATGCAGAATTCATAATATACAAACAGAACCCTAATTAGTTTCTCCCAGGAACAGTTCTTAATATCCTGATAGATTGAGCCTATCTCGAGATGTCAGTTAACCCCTTCAGATACTGTCTTATATAACAGCAATAATCTTCAAGATTACTTCTAGTGCCACCATGGAGGGCTTTCCAGGGATATTATGAGCAGTCCTTTGGGAAATGGTTACAATCTCAACAGGACCTGGACCTCTTTGCTGTGGGAAGGGTTGCTATTGATATTGATCTGGGTTGCAACTAGTTTTGTGGGAGGATATGAAACTGAACATATATTTAGAAACAATAGAAGGCAAGCTGGAAACTGAAGGCAGAGAAATAGTCAGTGAGTGTGGAACATAAATGAAATAATGCTAGAAAATAGACAACAAAACACATCTGGTACAAACACAGAATGCTAGAGTAGCACAGCAGATCAGCAATTTAAGAATTAATTATTATAGTGAGAAAGGATGATAATCTGGAAAGATCACCAAAAGAACCCAAATGAGAACTTAGAAACAAACTGAGATCATACTCCTGTCATATATAACAGACATCAAAATATTCAGAGGGAGATAGTGAAGCAAAGATGTAGGCAAATCTTAGGTAACTATAAAATACTAATTTCAACACACATAAAATTAACTGGGGTGGAATTGCTGCCACCAATATATAGAGGTCTACCATTTTTTAAAAAGAAAACTTCTAGCCAGTTTGTAGTAAGTGCAGCACACGAAGGGAAGACTTTAGTAAATTAAGGTTGACAGGTAAAATTGGCATTTGTGGACGATGGGGATCATAATTTCATAAGCTTCACAACAATTAAGAACAAGAACAAAGAAAAGTGGAAGTAGAAGTCCTCAACTGGGAAGTGACCAGTTCTTTAAAGCTGAAACGTGACTTAGCAAAAGTGAGCTAGGAATAGTTTCAGAAAGTACAGTATTGTCAGAGGGGAGAGTGTGGGTTCAGAATAAATATATTCCAATGAAGAGAAAAGGGTGGACTCTTAAAACTAGAATTTCCTGTATGTCAAAGAACACACAGGGTAGGGTAACATAAAAAAGGGAGGTAATGTTCAATACCCAGAGCTTAATACAAAAGAAAGGCTAAAGGGATATAAAAATTGTAGGGGAGATTCTAAGGAAAGAAAAGAGGGGCCCTAACAGGCACTATGCGGGATTGAGCAAAAATCCCCATCATCTAAAATACTGGACAAAAGCCAGAGCTTAGGCTGCAACAAATACATACAGAGCCAACAAGGTGCAGGGCTGGATGAACACAGCAGGCCCAGCAGCATCGTAGGAGCAGAGAGGCCGACGTTTCGGGCCTAGACCCTTCATCAGAAAAGCTGATTTTACACCTCCACTCTAAGAAAATATTCAACCAAGCCTAACATTCTGGACCAAAACTAACTTTTATACACCTTGGGCACAGACAGTATGGGGGCCTCCACAGAAAACGAACATTCAACTTCAATCAAAATCCATTCACAGAGATACCGGATATTCAACACCAATCAAAATACATTCACACATATTTTTAACTATCAGGGAGCTAACGGACCTCAGAAGGAACACCAGAAACGTAACGGCAAACACAGATTTGATGCAAAGAGAAGGGGCCCCACAATCAGTGTTATTGCAGTGTTATTCCCGATCTTACCTGAATGAGCTATTCCACAGCAGCGATCCCCAGAAGAGGAATTCCAACAGCTAATTCCAGCGGCTACTTCCAAGAGCTATATCCAGAAGGGGGATCCCGACAGCAATTCCGAAAACTACTGACACAGGCCTGTTCTAAACTGGGGAACCAACGGCAACCAACCGCGACCAGCAGACCTAAGGACCAACGACCTCTGAAAACCACCAACCCGACCGACACCTCAAGGCCTCAGCCACATCCTGAGGTGAAAACTGACCCGCAAAGTAGAAAGTAAGGAAAACCAAGTACTCACCTCGTAGATCACATTCACATCCTGTCACATCAGCAGACTCAACCCAGGCTTAACACCTACGCAATCCGATGTTTTCAAAACCGTGTTTTACCCACTGGTAAGCTTAAACCCCAAGACCCAAAAGCGTCCGACCTAGCTAGCAGGGAGACGAAGGCACGTGATGACAATGTAGGGAACCCCAAGAGTAGGAAGCCTGATTAAAGATTGTGGTTTAAACTGTTGTTTAGGTTCTAATAATGTTTAATCAGTGTTTAATTTAACAGTGTATTTCGTTACTGTTCTCTGTATAGTTGATAGTGTCAATTTCACTGGTTTTTGCATTTACCTTTATTTATTGTATTATACTTAACTTTTTGTATTTAAATAAACACAGAGATTCTTTCGCCCTGAAACACCTGTCTACTGCCTTCTTCATTTCACATTCCCTAAATAAGTCTAGTGTCTAGAACCTGGATGAATCGAACCACCTAAAATCAGTAAATTACTGATTGCAAACCAGAACTCTGCAGACTAAAGGCACATGAAAATGCAGGGGTGATATTATATTCGGGAAATAAAAGACAGGCCATAACATACAAAAGTCAGTGAGTGATGTACTAGAGGGGAACTGTTGTCTGCAGTAATATATTCAGCATATTGCCAGTACACTGTTAAATGAAGGATAAAAATATAATTATGGAAAAATATATGGTAAACATTATTCAATTCAAACCAAATATGTTTTTGATCAGTATTGCTATTGCTTTGTTGGTAATTCACATCTCCCAAGTGACCACTTTAATCGCACACGCTGCACAGGCAGAATTATGGGCAAATGATGGGTCAACTGTAACAGTTTTGGAAAATACTAGTAAAGGCCAATTTTATAAGTTATGATACATTATACTAAACAGCCTGCATTCCTACCTTTGTATTCTCCAAATGTTTCCATGGTCTAAAGTACACATTGCTACCTTTTGGGAAATCAAATTAGATTTTTAGGCAATTCTACTAAAATAACAACAAATGTCATACATTCAGCCAAGGATTCCATTTAAGGCAGAATGGGGGAATGACATAACACTTAAGAAATGCAATAGGCTGGATCAGGGATGAAACTGTTGTCTTGGTCGGGAGCCAATACTGTTGAAAAGGCACAAACACAAGCACAAATCTATATACATGTCAAATCATAAATTTCTCAAATTGCAGTTATTAACATATCTTAATGTTCTGATTCATTAGTCAGCAGTTAACAAACTTAAACCACTTAACAAGCTTAAAATGTATTCTTGCCAAACTTCCAGGCCTACAAATACACACACTACAAGCTAAGCGTGAGTGAGTGTCCTGGCGGTCAAGATGGCGGCAAAGTAAGTCGCTCAATTCGGAGCTCCACTCTGCTCACCAGTTCCTTTTCCCTTCTTTTTTCTCTTTCTTCTCTCCCTCTCTGCAGTAATTTTACTCCCCCCACCCCCCAACCCCTGTCCTTTTAACTATCTGCTACCTACCTAAAGAGTTGGGTTGTGACCAGGAACCATGTGGCAAGAGCTAAATGCGCGGGCAGTGACAGCAGATCAAGTGTGGGCCAGAGCGATGGCGGTGGATCAAAAGTGGGCCGGTTCAGTGGCGACAGCGTGCCAATGAGGCAGCAGCAGTCAGCGGCGAGAGCGGACTGGTAAGGCGGCAACAGTGGGCCTTTCGTATGACAGCAGCCTCCTGGGTGTCCTAGTGATTGGAGCAATGGTGTCAGTGGTGGCAAGGTCCTGTTGTACTCTGAGGTAATCTTCTTCGCTGTCCACTACAATTCTAATTTTGGTGTCATCTGCAAACTTACTAACTATAACTCCTATGTTCATATCCAAATCATGTATCTAAATGACGAAAAGCAGGGGACCCAGCACCGAACATTGTGGCACACTGCTGGTCACTGTCCTCCAGTCTGAAAAGCAACACTCCACCACCACCCTCGGTCTTCTATTTTTGAGCCAGTTCTGTATCCAAATGGCTAGTTCTCCCTCCATTCCATGGGATCTAATCTTGTTCTTTTGGTTTTTATGTCAAGAAAGTATTTTTATTTGGAAACTGGAAAAATACTTGTGGGAAGATGTAGTGATAGTATTTAATGATTATATAGGCAATGGCCTAGTAGTATAATTGCTAGACTATTAATCCAGAAACCAGCTAATGTTCTGGGGGCCCGGGTTCGAATCCCACCACAGCAGATGGTAAAATTTGAATTCGATAATTTTACAAAAAGAATTCTGGAATTAAGAATCTACTGATCACCATTAAATCATTACTGATTGTCGGGAAAACCCATCTGGTTCACTAATGTCCTTCAGGGAAGGAAATCTGCCACCGTCACCTGGTCTGGCCTACATGTGACTCCAGACCCACAGCAATGTGGTTAACTCTCAATTGCCCTCAGAAATAGCCTAGCAAGCCATTCTGTTGTACCAATTGCTACAAAGTCTCAAAGAAATGAAACTGGACAGATCACTCGGCATTGACCTAGGCACCGGAAAAGACAACAGCAGAAACAGCCCTGTTGTCCCTGCAAAGTCCTCCTCACTAACATCTGGGAGTTAGTGCCAAAATTGGGATTGCTATCTCACATACGAATTAAGCAACAGCCTGATACGGTCATACTAACAGAATCATATCTTACAAACAATGTCCCAGACACCACCATCACCATCCCTGGATATGTCCTGTCCCACTGGCAGGACAGAGCCAGCAGAGGTGGCGGCACAGTGGTATACAGTCGGGAGGGTGTTGCTGTAGGAGTCCTCAACGTTGACTCTGGACCGCAAGAAGTCTCATGGCTCCAGGTTAAATGTGGGCAAGGAAACCTCCTCTGCTGATTACCATATACCATCCTCCCTCAGCTGCAAATCGGTATTCCTCCATGTTGAACAACACTTGGAGGAAACACTGAGGATGGCAAGGGCACAAAATGTACTCTGGGTGGGGGGATTTCAATGTCCATCACCAAAAGTGGCTCAGCAGCAGTACTACTGATCAAGCTGGTTGGGTCCTAAAGGACACAGCTGCGGGCAGGTGGTGAGGGAATGAACAAGAGGGAAATACATACTTGACCTCATCCTTACCCATCTGCCAGCTGCAGATGCATCTGTCTATGAAAGTATCAGTAAAAGTGACCATCACATAGTCCTTATGGAGACGAAGTCCCGCCCTCACATTGAGAAAATCCTCCATCATGTTGTGTGGCACTACATCACTGTGCTAAATGGGACAAACAGGGACAAAAGAGCTGAATTCCAGAGGTGAGTGAGAGTGACAGCCCTTGACATCAAGGCTGCATTCGACTGAGTGTAGCATCAAGATGCCTAGTAAAACTGGAATCAATGGTTATCGGGGGCAAACACTCCAGTGGTTGGAGTCATAGGGCTGACACATAGGAAGATGGCTGCGGTTGTTGGAGGTCAGTCATCTCAGCTCCAGGACATCTCTGCAGGAGTTCCTCAGGATAGTGTCCTAGGTCCAACTATCTTTAGCTGCTTCATCAATAACCTTCCCTCCATCATCAGTGGGGATGTTCGCCGATGATTGCACAATGTTCAGCACCATTCGTGATCCTCAGACACTGAAGCAGTCTGTGTTCAAATGCTACAAGATCTGCACAATATCCAGGTTTGGGCTGACAAGTGGCAAGTGATATTCATGCCACATAAATGCCAGGCTATGACCATCACCAATAAGAGACAATCTAACCACCACCCCTTGACATTCAATGGTGTTACCATCACTGAATCCCCCACTATCAACATTCTGGATGTTATCATTGACCAGAAGCTCAGCTGGACTCAGCACATAAACACAGTGGCTATAAAAGCAGGTCAGAAGCTAGGAACACTGTGGGAAGTAACTCACCTCCTGACTCCTCAAAGCTTGTCCACCATCTATAAGGCACAAGTCAGGAGTGTGATGGAATACTCCCCACTTGCCTGCATGAGCGCAACCCCAACAACACTCAGGAAGCTTGACACCATCCAGGACAATGCAGCCAACTTGATTGGCACTACATCCACAAGCATCCACTCCCTCCACCACCTGCGCTCATTAGCAGCAGTGTGTACTATCTACAAGATGCACCGCAAAAATTCACTAAAAATCCTCAGACAGCACCTTCCAAACCCACGACCACTTCCATCTCGAAGGATAAGGCAGCAGACATATGGGAACACCACGACCTCCAAGTTCCCCTCCAAGCCACTCACCATCCTGAGTTGGAAATATATTGCCGTTCTTTCACTGTCGCCGGGCCAAAATCCTGGAAATCCCTCCCTAATGGCATTGTGGGTCAACCCACAGCTGGTGGACTGCAGTGGTTCAGGAAGGCAGCTCACCACCACCTTCTCAAGGGCAACTAAGGATGGGCAAGAACTGCTGGCCAACCAGCGACACCCACATCCCACAAATGAACAGGAAATAACAATGAACATCCAGACATAAGTAGTGATGTCACTGTGATCTCAATGGATCATGTATTAGTTTCAGTAAGAGGTTAGAGCCTGAAAAGCACAAAACCTCCAGCTTCATGTCCTTATATCATATACACTAACTATAAACCATAAATTAATTGTTACAAAGAAGTCCGGCATGATCAATATCAGAAGGGCATAGACAATGATCAAACACTTGCACCATTTCTGTACCTGATCAGTGAAAGATTGGTTGTGGCGCTTCCATGCAGGCTCTGTGGCCTGCTGTTCATACGAGGTGGAGATTCAAATCTCTGACAGCACTCTTCCTGTAGGTCTGGTTCCGCTCTCTCTTGCTGTGGGCAATCTTCTCATGCAAACTGAGAAGGAGAAGTATTGTGTATGATCACAATGGGTTCATGAGTATCTTATGAGCACGATAGACATGGTAGGTCTTTAAACCTCTTCAGTGAGTGATTCAGATGTGCACTGCCTGGGAACTGTTAGAACATTCGCAGAATGAGCATAAAATCTCAAGTATGCAGTATCCATGCGACACTAAACGTTGCATGTAATTATCCTGTGAACTAACACAGTTAGGCTGAGTGATGCCTCTGAATGTCAGTTTATAGTGAGGAGAACAATGCCACTTAACCTTACAGAGTACAGGAGAATGTTCATCTTCTTGCAATGGATCTGAATTCTTCAATGTAAGCCACTGTCATCAACCTGCATTATATCTCAATCCAGGTCACCAGTATCCGATGTGTAGGTTTTCTGCTGACATCACTGGAGAAAAGAACTTCTTTTCTTTCGTAGATGATCTGGGCCAGAACCTCTTTGAATGCATTGTTGAATCATGGTACCAGTTTATGTTGGGTGTAAGATATACAGCATGGGAACAGGCTCTTCAGCCCAAACTGGTCCATGCTGACCATAGTCCCCTCTCAGCTAGTTCCAATTGCCCACATTTGGTTCATATCCTTCTAAACCTTCCCCATCCATGTACCTATCCAAATATTTTTTAAATGTTGCTATTGTACCTGCCTCAACCACTTTCTCTGGCAGCCCATTCCAATATACACACCATTCTCTGCGTGAAGAAGTTGCTCCTCAGGTCCTTCTTAAATTTTTCCCCTCTCACTTTAAACCTATGCCCTCCAGTTTTCAATTCCCCATCCCTGGGAAAAACGACCACATGCATTCATCCTATCTATACTCCTCATGATTTCATTTACCTCAATAAGGTCACCCTTCATTCTCCTACATTCCAAGGAATAAAGCCCTATCCTGGCCAACCTCTCCCTGTAACTCAGGTCTACTAGTCCTGGTAACATCCTCGTAAATAGTCTTTGCACACTTTTCAGTTTAACTACTTCTTTCTTATAACAGGATGACCAAAACTATACACAATACTTCAACTGCGGCCTGACCAACAACTTATACAGCTGTAACATAATATCCCAACTTCTATACTCAATGCCTTGACCTTTGGAGGCCAGCATGCCAAATGCCTTCTTCACCATCCTGTCTATCTGTGATGCTGCATTCAACCAACTATTACTTGTATTCCTAGGTTCTTCTGTTCCACAACACTCCTCAGGACCTTACCATTTACTGTATAAGTCATACGTTGGTTTTACTTTCCAAAGTGCAACACCTCACACTTATCCATATTGAATTGCATTTGCCAATCCTCAGCCCACTTCCCCATCTGATCAAGATCCCTCTGTTATTTTTGATAACCTTCTTCACTATCAACAATACATCTTATTTTTGTATCACCTGCAAATTTACTAATCATGCCTTGTACATTCATATCCAGATCATTTACGTAAGTTTCAAATAACAAAGGTCCCAGCACCGACCCCCACGGCACACCAGTAGTCATGGGCCTCCAGTCCGAGATACAACCTTCAACCATCACCCTCTGCTTCCTACCATCAAGCCAATTTTGAATTTAATTAGCTAGCTCTCCCTGGATTCCATGCGACCTAATCTCCATGACTATTCTCTCCCTAGCCACCCTTTTACTCTGAAAATAACTATAGAACCTCTTGGAATTACCCTTAACCTTATCCGCCAGATCCATCTCATACCCTATTTTTGCTCTTCCGACTTCCTTCTTAAGTGTGCTCTTACACTTTTTATGGTTATCTAGGGATTCACTTGAGCCCAATAGCCCAATGTATGCCTTCTTCTTTTTCCTGTCCAGAGCCTCAGCATCCCT